GGGTAATGAAACGTTTGCAAGAAAAGAACCAAGCTCAGAGAACCCCAAGGACTCCACTGATACAGCAGTTTAGGCCGAAAGCAAATAACCACATCAAATTAGCTATGAGCCCAATGCATGATTCCATACCTATTTTGTTTCTTCCTTGCTGTTCCTTGTTGTAATTTGATCATTTCTACAACCCACGTATAGTATTTCAGCCGAAGGGCTGTGCTTTATATTTTTTACAGTATAAAAGTCACCTTTGACAAACTCAGCTCCTGGTGCCTTCCTGGACACACCCATGTACTGTCTTGATTTATGTATTATTCTGAGAATTATGTATTTTCATGTGAACAGAGGCCCATGATCTAAACTAGAAACAGCCTTTAAAATCTTTGGGACTCAGTTACGATTTGGGGTTTGATCAGTGTTTCTCGACCTCAGCCATTTTGAAAATATGTGGACTTCAATTCCCAGAATTCCCTAGCCAGCTGGCTGGGGAATTCTGGGAATTGAAGTCTATACATCTTAAAGTCACTCAGGTTGAGAAACAATGGGTTAGATGTATCTGTTCCTGAAATGTTGTCTATCTTTCTTAGCAGAGAGAGGAAATCCACTGAACGAAATTCCTAACTTCAGAAGCCAACAACTGTGCATGGGTGTCCTGTTAAGACTGTTAGTTCAATACTCATAGAATTGACTTTTTTTGGTGGGATTTATGTTTGGAGAGGTCGTCGCTTGCCCACTGTGATATATGTATATATCTGATACGGTAAGGTTACTATAAGAGCGTTTTCTCTCCCCTGCAAAAGCATGGGATTGAGGCCAAATGGTTGCTAATTCTTCCCCCGCTGCAGGAGTCCTGCCACGTCGGCTTGGAATGACAGGTGAGTGGCAGGTCTTCTGGAGGCCAGGTCTGCTACAGGAAGAGGGGCCAGTCGGACCGGCGGAGGCCCCGAGGCAAAGCCGCCTGGCCTGTGTAGGGCGTGTGACGTGATCTGAATCAGATTGGGTGTAACAAACCGAGGGATGTAGGACATACATGACAACGAGAGAGCAACACCTAGTGCAGTGATGGTGGACTGGCATCAGGAAGATCCAGGTCCAAAGCTATTTAGGTACCATATATATTTGTGGATAAGCCAAGAATTTTAGGTGCTAGAAAGTACCCCAAAAATCGGGTTCTGCTTATCCATGGATGGACTTATCCGTGAGCATATACAGTAATATTTTTTAAAGTACCTGTATTTCCCGTATATGATCACGGATAAGCCCATCCGCAGATAAGCCGAGCCACAAAATTTTAATCAAAATATCATGAAAAATGTGAATTGGCTTATCTGCGAGTGGCACATTTTTCATGGCATTTTGGTTAAAAATTTGAGGGTTGGCTTGTCCATGGATGGGCTTATATATGAATATACGTGGTATGGTGCTTTGACTTCAGGGAGAACAAACTCTAACAAAACAAGTAAATTGAGATGTGAGTTGGGGTATTCTTGTAGAACCTCTGTTTACAAGCTTATGTGCAACTCTCCTGTGTACAAAGATTCAAGTGTTAAGGAGCTTTTTCCAGATGTACAGTGTGCGCATTGTAGGTTTTGCACTACCGTAAGAAGCAGCCATTTCCATTCCCAACATTACCCACTTTGATGGGGATCAACGCATTGATCTGCACAGCACACTCGGTCTTACATTTCATTGGCTTGTTGATGGCTTAGTGCAGTGTTTCTCAACCACAGCAACTTTAAGATAGATGGACTTCAACTCCCAGAATTCCTCAGCCAGCATGAGTTGAAGTCCATCTGAGGAATTCTGGGAGTTAAAGTCCATCTATCTTAAAGTTGCTGTGGTTGAGAAACACTGGCTTAGTGTGTTATGTGAATTGAGCCCAATATGGATTGTAAATTAAGTTTTTTGGCTTATTTTGCATGTGAATCCAGGCTGAATTTATCCTGTGAATCCAGCTTTTTCAATAAACCATGGTTAAGTATTAGGACTGCATAGGAATCAGACCTATTGGGTTTTTTTAAAATCACACTTGTATACACAGGTAACAAAAGAGGAAAAGCAGTTTGTTAGTACGCAATCCTGAAGAATGGGATCTAGGAGAGAAAGATGGGTACAAGGACATTAATGTTTGCCAAATAAAGAGAAGGATATTTTCTGATGTCCAAGGGCTGCATTTAACATTTTGGGGAAGTGGAGGGTTGCAGAGGAGATGGGACAGTTCACCCAGGTGGGGAGTTTTCTTTTTTTAACTATATGTCTATTTTAGGGTTTATATCAGTGTTTCTCAACCTTGGCCACTTGAAGATGTATGGACTTCAATGCCCAGAATTCCCCAGCCAGCATGTTGGCTGGGGAATTCTAGGAGTTGAAGTCCACACATCTTAAAATGGCCAAGGCTGAGAAACACTGCCCTAAAGAGTATTATCTATGCTTCAACCACATAAGTGAAGACATTGGAATTGGCCATACATACTATTCAATCTTCTGAGAATCTACTTTTCATTTTATTTATGTTTTCTCCCAAACATTCTAGTCCTTAAGACCTTGTCCTGACAATTTTCACACTGTGTTTGCCTTGCCATTGACATCTTTAGCTGTTACGGTAATGTCTGCATTTTTCTAAGCCCATGTTTCCAGTTTTAAAGGCTATAAATGTGTTCCTTTCTTTTCTTCAGAAAAGAAAGAATAAAAAAAACCTGAAGTTCTCTGGATGCCTTTTAAAGAATGAATGCATGTGGGATGATAATTTCTCCCCAAGAAACCAATTTACATTCCCTATTAGATTTATTTTATTTTATTTATTTTATTTTATTTTATTTAGCAAATTTATATAGCCACCCATCTCACAAACGTGACTCTGGGCAGTATACAACAAAACAGTTTAAAACAAATATAAACAACTATTAAAAACAATTAGATATAAATAAAAAGCCAAGATCGCAGGAGAATGGACACATTCTAACCTTCTTGTAGGCTCTCTGTTCCCATAGGATTCCCAAGGTTGCTGGAAAAACCCTGTTTTAAGGGCTTTCCAGAAGGATGGGGCCAATCTCACCTTGGGGGGAATGATGCTCCAGAGAATGGGAGCCACCACAGAAAAGGCTCCCCTCCTGGGTCCCCTCAAATAGAACTACTTGTCAGATGGGACCTGTAATATACTGCTTCTGCTGGACCTGATGGGACCAGTAGATGTAATCAGGAAGAGGTGATCCTTCAGATTAGAACGTAGTTAGGCCT